CCGCACTTCGGGTTCTGTGCAATCTGTCTCTGTGTGCTCTCTCTCTGCGCTCCAAGTACGTTACACTTACAATCAGTAGTATATGTCTCTAGTGCTGATGTCTCTTTTGTTAGATAAAATCCTCCTCCATTGATGTCCCCCCATCGTAATCTTTCAGTGCAGCAGGAATTAATAGAACAGTGGGAGCAGTGACAGGCACACATCAAAAGTGTGATGTGAGTGTGAATTTAAGTTGTGTAAAGCAGCAGTTAAAAAATAATACAATAGTTCTGTTTAGGCAAGCTACAAGTCTAATGACTCTATCACAGTCACGCATTAGGGTCAGAGTCCAGTGAACTGCTAATATGTAAAATGTGGAGAGAACATAAAAAAACTTGATTTGATTATTTGAAGTATAGTTGCAGCAGTTTTGTTTTCATCATTTCAGTACACTGCCATAGAACTAGAAAAGCCCAGATCAGAATAACATAGATTGTTCCCAGCAGGGGCGGACTGACCATTTGGAAACTCGGGCACTGCCCGAGGGCCCGGGGTCAGTAGGGGGCCCCATGAGATGTCCCTGGTACCTTTTTCATAGGCTTTTTTGAGTTTGGGCAAAGACACAGGGGCCCCATGATCCCCTATTGCTCAGGGGCCCCATGAGTTGTCAGTCCGCCCCTGGTTCCCAGTCAAAATTTCCAGCACCCCCAAAGACGTCTGTAGCCCCCCCTCTGGAGATCATAAAATCTCTAGAGGAAATGGCAGCTGTAAATAATAAATAAAGATATACAAATGTACGCTCACGATTGGGCGCATTCTAGGAGCATGTATATAGAGGATCAGTCTACAATTTTAAAATCCACAAACATCTTACATTTTCTGGAAACTCCAACAACATTAGAGTTTAGGGCTCTGCCACTCCAGCTGTTTAGTCTTCATTCTCTTGCTGTAAAATATCAAATAGAGGAAGCATCCAGTAGAGAAAATGATGTTCTCCCCTGTGCAGAAATCTCACAGCTGATTTCAAAACGACAACTGATAACCAAAGAGTGTTTTAGTCCATCAGCAGTCCACAAACAAAGTTTTTTGTGGATTAGTCCTTTAAACTATGAATGTAAACACTGTATTCAAATTTATTTAAAGATAAAGAAAGGTTTGGTTGCTGTAGGGTAAGACTTGTCTGGTGTGCAACGTATACAAAGCAGATGAACCTTTTTTTCAAGATTCCCTGAAGAAGCCACAAGTTATTGTGATGGTATAAACCGAAAGTGTGGGTGGGAGCCGCTATACTGAGTGCCTAGTGAGATTTTAAACTATACTCATTCTTTTATGAAAATTATAAGTGCAAAACTTTAATAAATGAATGTTTTCGTTATGCTCTATGTGCTATGAGGAGTCCCGCTTTGTTCTTTGCTTAATTGCAGAGTGATCAGCGGGGAACCCTAATCTCTTAAAGGGACATAGACATAGATTGATCAATCCTGATGTAATTTACACACCTTTGCCCAGAGGCAACCATTTAATAGTTGTTGGAGTGTTGAGAGTGGAAGAAAGAGCACAGTTATTAATCCCTTAAAGGGGAAGCGCTACTTGACTTGATAATTGTTAGGTCATCCCCTAGAGGTGTGAGCAATTTAGAAAAGGTGGTGGCACTCACTGATCAAAAGAGTGCAAGAACAAAGTGGGGTGGATTATACATATTTTAAGGAATCACGTAGTGACTGGATGTGGACATTGGACGTTATATGCATATACACACATATGAAAAAAAACAGACACTGTTTTTATGAGGATTTTATATATGTTTATTTATTTGTAGCACCCTCCTAGAGAGGTGCTAAGTTGTACATAGTTAAGTATAGCATAGTACGGGCTTCTGCTTAATGGAGATTGGAAAGGCAAATTTAGTAGCTCTCTCTGCTTAACAGAAGAGTTACATTTGCTAGCTAGTTCATCCGTGTGACTCACACTACTGCTGCATCTGGGTGAAGGTTCATCTGTATCCAGGTAACCAAGGAAGGTTCTGGATGGGTAGTGTGAGCCTGATGGGTAGTGTAAGCCATGCAGATGAGCAGCATTAATATGGATGCAGCCCCATCCATTTACAGGAAGTGGTGCCCCTGAGCATACTGGGAGCTAGTATTTATATTCAGTGAGCACATGAGTCTGTTTTTTTTTCTTCCTCTTCCCTGGAGAAGGGAGTTCCAGCTAGAGAGGAGGTTGCCTCCCTAGAACGTGCTGCCAGGAAGCCTCAGGTGAATGACCCTATTGGCCAGAACTCTTAAACCCAGGGTGCTTCTGAGAGGGGGATGTCTGCAGATCCTGTCTTGTATCACAGAGGAAGGTGACCTGCAGCAAGGGCCTTGTGAGTACAGACTATTTGAAAAAGGATCCTGAGACTTGTGCTGTTTAGCCCCCTCGGGACTTATATAGTCAGCTGCAGGGTTTAACCTCTTGCCGTCCGCCTGCTGTTTATAAACGGCAGGGCGGTGGCAGTCCAGGGTCGGGTTGCCGTCCATAAACGGCACCCGCCTTTTCTAGCTGTGCGCGCTCCCTGGGAGCGCGCACCACCGCGATCCGGTGCCCGCTGTGTCCTCCGGACACAGTGAAACACCAATCGTCGGACTGGACCTCTGTACGAGGTCCCGATCATGTGATCACTGATTGGTGAATCAGTGATCACATGCAAAGTAGTAAGCAAGATGTCACTTGTGACATCATTGCTTACTATGTGTGAAATCTGTGAATGATCACAGAGGTCACATGGTACAAGGCTATTTACAAACAGCCTTGTACCATGTGACAAGCTGTGACCACTCACAGCTCACTCAGTAATTCTCAATGACTGCAGGAATGCAGACAGAGAGAAAGAGAAATGATTGCTTTTATATCCTATATGGGTGTAAAAGCAATGTGTAAAAAAAAAAAAAAAAAAATCTTCATCACCCTCCACAAGTAGTACAGTGTCACCATGGTGACAGTGTACTGCTAGGGTGACAGTATGTAAAAAAAAAAATAATAAATAAAAAATAATAATATAAAAAAAATAAAATAAAATGTAAAAAAAAATGTTTAAAAATTATAATTTTTGGTTATAAACTAATTTGGATTTTTTTTTTTTACTAAAAAAATAACGGAATAAATTTTGGCTAAGATTTATGATAAAATATTATTTATTTGCAAAATTTTATTTAAAAAAACACTTTTTTTCAAAATTTTTGAACTTTTTCATTTACATAGTAAAAAAAATAAAAATCCCAGCGGTGAATAAATACCACCAAAATAAAGCTTTATCTGTCTCAAAAAAATGGTAAAAAATTCATATGGGTACAGTATTGCATGACCGCGCAATTGTCATTCAAAGTGTGATAGCGCTGAAAGCTAAAAATTGCCCTGGACAGGAGGGGTAAAAGTGTCCGGACAGGAAGTGGTTAAGCTAGAGGGGACACCGGCTGGTGTCCAGAAGAGCAACTGTCCATTAAGTTCTGCATTTCTACAGAGGGACTTTGCTCCATTCTTTGTACAGCCTACTACACAGTTCTACTAAGGAAACCCACAGATTCACTTAGAGAAAGCTGTCCTCAATTGTGAATAGTTTGATTCGGAGTATCACACTATATCCCTTCCCTATCCCAGTTCTAAAACAAAAACAACAACCCTAGACTGATCATTGAAGTAACGAACGAACATTGTATGCATCTGGCTATAGGAAATGCTGTGTGCTGGGCTGCTGGAGAGAGCCTGGGCAAGATACAAGCGGCTCCTACGGGGGTAGCGCTACATATTTGAATAGGAGTTGTAATATATTACATATGGTTTATGCAGTTTGGAGATTCATAATAATTCATTTAAATGGAAGAGGTAGCACAGCATCATGATTTAATAATTTTACTTAAAGTAAAATGCAAGGTCTGCTCATTAGTTTATGGTCCCTTGCCCTGTATAAATTACTATATTCGATTCTTAAAAATGTACACTGTCTGTAAGGAAAAATTTAGAACAGGTACATTTTCGCCAATCTAACATAAACCTCCACCTGCAGCACCTAGGCAAGTGAGATGGCATGATCATTCTGGTGAGAACAATAAGAATCCCAAATCTTATTTGAAGATGCTCTTGTAGTGGACTGTACTGTTATTTGGGGTACTCATCATTTTCCAGGAATTTTACCGGAAAGATAATGGCGTGATGGTCTGCAAAAGACTAGGGTTAGGTAAGTATTTAATCTAACTTTTTTCCTTAGAGGTACATTTTTGCCCTTCGTCATACAGTGATTTATACAGGGAGAGGGGGCTCTGATCTTATAAGTGGTTCTTGCATTTTAATAATATGCATATCAGCTTTTCTGGCTTGAAACTCCAGCCTGCCGCTCTCTCTGTCAGCCAGTAAGAGCTCTAATATTGTCTTTTGAGGCTCTCATTGCTTAGTGCTGATGGAAGGGCCAGGGAGAGATCTGCATACATGCATACATGCATCTCCTACATAAGCTGTACCTGTCTATCTGCAGTCTTCTCTCCTCTACTTCCGTTCAAAGTGCCGAATTTATACAGTTTGTCTGAGCTTTCAGGAGAAACGGGGCAAAGAATTTACAATCTGCATAGTTCAGTCAGGAGAACCCCGAGAAATGATTGGAGGAAAAAGACACACCCTCTTCCACACAGCTCACAGGAATAGAGCTGAGGCTCTCAATTTACTAGAGCTCCCTCCTGTCACCATTTTCCTCTTGGTTTTAGGAAAACCTGTCAGAAGTGGTTCATGCTGATAGCAGAGAAACAAAGCAGCAGGCAGAAATGACACTTAGTGCTCTTAATTCAGACAAGCACACACTATAGAATGATATGCTTAGTTCATATTTCATGAGGTTTACAATCACTATAAGTGATTCTGTTATATTTTCAGGCACTGAAATTTGAAACGTTTACTTGTATTCTATGTACTGGTGTTCCATTTACTGAAATATATGTTGACCCAACTGTGTCAAAGTAACCCCTTACCTATTTCTTTTTTCTCATGTGTTTAAGAAGGCCTGTCACTTAACCAGAAGACGTCACTCCTTTATTATCAAGCAACCTACAGAGGCCCAATACATTGTGTATACTGCATATTGAAGAAAGAGGGCTTCACTGGAATGTATCGTGGAGCCGGAGCAATGATTCTAAGAGATGTTCCAGGTTACTGTTTATACTTTATCCCCTACACATATATCTGTGAGTGGTTGACCTCAGATCATCAGAGCACACCAAGTGCTTTCTCAGTGTGGATAGCAGGTGGCCTTGCAGGTACACATTTTCTGTATTTTCTTTATATTACATAGGCATGTTCCTGCTGTATTATTGTATAAGATGCAACAGATATAAATGGAGCTGGAGAAGGTGTATATTCCCCCAATACACATATAGCTACATAGTTAATCTGGTTGAAAAAAGACACTATTCCATCCAGTTAAACCAACATAAAAAAATACACCACACACACAAATAGAAAACTTCCATATACACTATTCTATTCCCACATTTGATTAAGAGGAAGACAAAAAAAACCCAATAAAGCATGATCCAATTTGCTCCAGTGGGGGGGAAAATTCCTTCCTGAACCCCCAAGAGGCCATCGGATACTCCCTGGATCAACTTTAACTGTAAATATTAGTATTCAGTTATATTATGTGCATTTAGGAAATAATGCAGGCCTTTTTGAAAGCAATCTATTGAGCTGGCCAGAGCCAGCTCTTGAAGGAGTATATTCCAAATTTTCTCAGCTCTTACTGTGAAGAAGCCTTTCAGTATTTATGGTAAAGTTGATCCAGGGAGTTTCTGATTACCTCAGAAAGGAATTTTTTCCCCTACTGGAGGAAATTGGATCACGCTTTATTGGGGTTTTTTTCCTTCCTCTAGATCAACTGTGGGTATACAATAGTGTATAAAGAGTTTTTCTATTTGTGTCTGTGGTGTGTTTTTTTTTTGGTCGAACTGGATGGACTAGTGTCTTTTTTCAACCAGAATTACTATGTAACTATGTATTTGGAGATTAAATCTCTTTTCCTCCAGATGTAAAGAGTGCCCCCTTGTCCTCTGTGATGACCTTAACCTCCTTAGCGGTATTCCCGAGTGTAGCTCGGGGTAAAATTTCTATACCAAAAGCGGTAACCCTGAGCTACACTCGGGCTTACCATGCGGCGTTGCTCTGGGGGTCCCTGCAGCACCTACCTTGTCCCCTGCAGCATCCCTGTCCATCTCCTCCGGCCGATGCCTTCTGTGTTCCGGTCCCTGTGACGTCGGGACGTACAGGCACCAGAACCGGCGGGAAATTTGAAATTTTTAAAAAATGTCATTTTTGCTGTCATTGCTGTTTCAATGCATTTCACATACATTTTGTCCCTACTGCTTTGTCCTGTGCCCTGCCTGCATTTTGAATGTTCTTTCTGCCTGGAAACTTAGAAAAGTACATGGCGTCCAAAAAGCATCCCTTTACGTCAAAAGCGGTTTTAGAACAGCGATAGTAAATCAGAACCACTTGCAGAATTGAGTGATAATGATTCGTGGGGAAATTCATCATCAGACACTGAAAACGATTTTGCGACTTTGCTCAGCGATGTGCGAATTTGCCTCTGTATTTCAAATTTCAGTGTTTTTGGTTTGATTATATTATTGAATTAAATTTATTATTATTATTATTATTATATTATTTTTTATGATTATTTATTAAATTATAATTTATGATTTCGTGTTTCAAATTTTATCATATCCGGAATGTTTACTAGACTCTTGTTCGTACAGATTTCAGTGAGTTATTCCTAAAAATTACAGCCTACAATAAAAAACTACATACATGCAAAAAAATGGTACCGCTTTCAGCACAAAAAATCGGAAAGAATCATACCGCCAAGGAGGTTAAGGTGAATAACTCTACACCGAGTTCACTATATGGACCACCTATGTGTTTATACATGTTGGCCATATCTCCTTTTAATCTCTATTTCTCAAGAGAGAATAAATTCTGTTCAGCTAATCGTTCCTCATAGCTGAGCTTGGTTGCCATTCTCTGCACTTTCTCCAGTTCCCCAATATTCTGTTTGTGAACTGGTGGCCAAAACTGAACTGCATATTCCAGATGAGGACTTACTAATGATTTGTACAGGGGTAACATTCTCTCTCTGGAGTATATACTTCTTTTAATACAAGAGAAGATTTTGATCGCTTTGGAAATCAAAACTTGGCATTGCATGCCATTATTAAGCTTATAATCTACCAGAACACCCAGATCCTTCTCCACCATTGACTCCCCCAGTTGTACCCCCCTTAGTATGTATGATGCATGAATATTATTAGCCCCCAAGTGCATAACTTTACATTTATCAACATGAAACCTCATTTGCCACATAGTTGTCCAAGCAGTGCATTGAGGTCAGCTTGTAAATTGGAGACATCCTGTAAGGATGTTGTTCTACTGCATAGCTTAGTGTCATCTGCAAATGCTGAAATGGTACTTTTAATCCCAGACCCTATATCATTTATAAGTACTGTGATTTAAAAGTAAGGGTCTGAACCTTGGGGTACACCACTAACAACCCTAGACCATTCAGAGTGTGACTAATTACCACTACTCTCTGAATACAGTTTTTTAGACAGTTTTCTATCCATTTACAAACTGATTTTTCCAGGCCTGTACACTTTACCTTACACATTAGCCATGTGTGGGGAACTGTGTCAAACGCTTTTGCAAAATCCAAGTATACTATGTCTACAACCACTCCTTTGTCTAAGGTTTTGCTTACCTCCTCAAAAAAAGAAATTAGATTTCTCTGACAACTTCTGTCTTTCATGACGCCATGCTGACCTTTGCTTAAAATGTTTTTTTTCTAACAAAAACTCATCTATGTGTTCTTTTATTGAACTCTCCAGTATCTTCTGGACTATAGAAGAGTTAAACTAACAGGTCTATATTTACTTGGTAAAGACTTTTATCCCTTTTTACATATAGGCACCACATTGACCTTATGCCAATCCAGTGGTACTATTCCAGTCAATAAAGAGTCCCTAAAATTAGAAACAATGGCTTTGAAATGACAGAGCTCAATTCTTGTAGGACCCGTGAGTGTATGCCATCCAATCCAGGTGCTTTATTCACCTTTATTCTGTCTAAATATTTCTGGATCATACCAATTGTGAGCCAATGTGGATAAATTGTGGCTATGCAATATCCCCACTATGGACATGAGCTCCTCAATGCTCCTTTGTATACACAGAGCTTTCTCTTTGTACTCACTCCAGATTTTTTTGTAAAATGCCTACATGCTCAGACCTTACCAAAGACCTTAAGTGTAAAATGTCCATATGAATTAAAGTCCGAAATAGTCTATGTCTTTCATAGCAGAATGTGGCAGTAACCTGACAGTGAAGGAAACTCTGTCAATCTGGGAAAAAAAACTAAGAAGTGAGGTTATTTACAAAAACTGCATGGTGCAAAATCTGTGCATGGAAACCAATCAGTTTCCAGGTTTTATTGTCAAAACATAATTGAACAAGCTGAAGTTAGAAGCTGATAGGTTTTCCATGCACAGCAGCACCAAATTCTGAGTGCACCAGTTTTAGTAAATCTCCCCCAAAGGGTCTCCAACTAAGTGCAGTATTAAAACACAAATGTAGGTTTAACCCTCTTTCTGGTGATAACTGGAAGATGTTGGATTTCATATAATTTTCTTTCATGTCCATGGTGACAATAGTCACCAGGACAAACATAGAGACAAATCTACTTTGCGAGCCTCCAGCAAGCAGAACAGTGAGCAGCATAGAGGTGACATCACCAAACCGTAGACCTTACTCTAAATCTGGTTGAACTAACAGCCAGAAGCAACGGTGCCTTACATCTCACACTGCATTCAATGCAGGTGAAACTTCCTAATGCATTTGTTTAACGCATTAAACAATTAATTCACTACCAGTGAATATTTGTTGAAAGTCACGTTCACTTTTTTAGGTGTGAAAAAAATAACTTTTGAGAGTATATCCTAATAACTTGACCTTTTTAGAAACTGAGAAAGGTCCTGAGGCAAAAATGACTGTTAAATTTCTGAAACAAAGAACCTGCCTGAGAGGCACACATCGCTGACATTTTTTGTTTCTATTGTTAGACAGTAATATTCCTGTATCTTTAGAGACATGTCACTTTTGTCAAAATTAAAAAATAAAATAAAAATGAAACACCATGTTGGTGGCTAAAATAAAAACAGGTGGCAGGGAGGCAAAGGGGCAGCTTCACCCTGTATATTTATTGCTCACAATAAATGCGTATGTGGGGGTGAGGAGGCTCAATTTTTTTAATGTGTGTGTTTTTTAATTTTTTTTAACTTATGATTTTGCTATCACATAGGGGACCAATATTCCCATATGTGATAGCATATGAGTGACAGGTCCTCTTTGTAGGGGGTAGGGGGCAGTGTGTGCAAGAAGGGGGCAGGAGAGGAGCAGTGTGTATAGTGAGGGAGCAGTAAATACACTCAGGCTACACTGAAGGATCACTAGCTGCCCTACGTCTCTGCCAGTTTTTAAATGTGATTACCAGCTTTTTTTTTCTTCACTATAGATCCAAAAATGAGCGGTCATTTTCCCCTCTGCTAAAGGAAACTAAGGGGCGGGGTCACTGGGTAATGTCACTGGGTGAATCCGCCCCTTAGTTTCCCTTAGCGGACGAGAGGATGACAGCTCATTCTCAGAGCTATAGTGAAGGGAAAAAAAAAAGCCTGTAATTACATTTAAAGTGTTACTAAACTCACAGTAAAATCAGTCTGTATATGCAGTACAGCATGCTTGTTATACTCACTGTGGAACCTAAGGGGTTAATCCTCTGCATTTTGTAAAAAGGCTGTTTGATCCTTTCTTCTCTGTTCCTCCCCTTTTTCAGGCGACCACCACTTATCAGACTGAACCATAGGCATGCACATGCGTAGTTTGGTGTATATTGCTAGAGAAGTTTTTTTTTTTCTTGGGTGAGTACATGTGATCAGCACAGGGCCAATCAGCACTGTCCAGATAGAGGTCGGGGACATCCTTCTAGAGCAGAAAGAAAACTCCTCCTACAAGCTTTAGCTAATGCTGGGCTGGACACTGATAGAAGTCACAAGATTGCTCTAACTGCTGATGAGAAAAGGTATTTAGCAGTTTATATTTACTAAAATAATTGCATTGGATGCAGGGTCCTGGGTTTAGTAACACTTTAGGAACCGGCATTGTTTTTAAATGCAATTACCGGCTTTTTTCTTTGCTATAGCTCCAAGAATGAGCTG